TATATATATATATATATATATATATATATAAAGCAAAGCAACACAAACCGAAAAAGTAATAATAGTAGCAATTTCTTTAAAAAAAAACTTCGTAAAATTGTTTAAAAATAAATAAATTTTAACTAATTTTCTGCTACTGACGTAGTAGAGTCAACGCAATTTTATAAGAATTATATATGTCACTATAATTATTAAAATTTTAATTAAAACAGAGACTCCGCCAATTGCGAAAGCGCCAAAATAATGAAAAATTCAATTGGATGTTTTTTTCGGTCTACTGTCACTAATCGCATCGTGACTCGTTACACCGGAAAGACACCACTTTGTGATTTTGGAATATTGTGCAAAAAATGCTCCTCCAAAAAAATTTTTTTTGAAAATGTAGTATCATTTTTTGAAAAAAAAACATTTTGAATCTTTGTTCTTACTTTAATTTTAAATGAATTTGTTACTGTAAACGTTCCGCCATTTTCCTGAATCTGCAGGAGACAGGCTTCCAAATAAAGCAAAAATTATTAAAATCTACTTTAAACGAAAAAATCTACAAATTCTTGAAGATGACTTGGCAAAGAGTAAGTTGTTTTTTTTCCCACTTTAGAACGGTCTAACTTTGCCGCCAGCGCACTTTTTGATGTAAATCTTTCGATTTCGAAATCCGGTATCAAGTGCTAAAAGCAGGCAAGAAATGAAAAAAAGTTGGGAAGTTGACTGAAAAAAGTATGCGACTTGGCGTGGAATGGCCCGTGCATATATTATTTCAATATGTACCTTACAAAAAAAGACGGGATTTGAAGGAAATTTCCTTGAAGTTTTAAAAGATAAAGAACGACACATTAAAGCAGATAAAAGTTTTTACTAACCGAATAAGAGAGTTTTTCTACATTAAGCACTGAAACTTGCAATATGTTATTGAAATATGCCGCTTTTGACGGTCGAAAAATTACATGTGCCTTGTAAGTGTCAAGAGGATTAATTACTACTTCATTTTGTTCAGCTAACTGAAATGAAAGAAAATTAACACGTAAGCAAACAACAAGGAAATAAAACTTAAGAAAGAACTTTTTGCAAAACATTGCCAGTAAAATTTTAAGCGTCTAGTTTGTGTTTAAGTGTAAAATTGCATATGACGTAAAGAAAGTATGAATGTTTCATTCGTTCTGTTCAGGTAAGTAAAAGTTGAAAAAGTATGAACAAGGTATTACCTTAAATCCTTTGTCACTCTTTAGACGAAATTTCAAGATTACTGTTCTTTGACTTACATTCCGTATCTCCAAACATCTGTCCACATTCTCCCCAACATCCACAAACCCGAAATATATAAAAGGCGGTTTAAAAGCTAGGATTTTTGGCCGATTACTCTCAACCATGGAATTACTGAAAAATAAAGCGTTTTATCTGGCAGTAAGAATTTCTATAAACCTGTAGGGTAGTGAATTCAATGGTAGAGGAGAATATCTGACAACATTCATTGAAAATCGATAGAACTGGAATATTTTTCATCAAACAGAAAATCCCAAAACCTGCAAGAAGCGCCTGCTGTGTCTTTCTTTACTACAACCTGATTGATATTACTACTGGTACGACCAGTAAAATTTCGCTTCGATTTTGAATCGGAAAATTTTGACACTTCCTGCGACTTTGAAAAATGTGGTGCCGAAACACGACTAACAGAATACGTAGCTCCTGAACGTTCAGCTCGCAGTGTAGATGGATCGACGTTACCTAAATGAAACCAAAAAATTCAGGTCAAAAGAAACTACTACTTAAAAAAGAAATCAGAACTCCAAAGAATAACCATAATTAACGTACAAAAGTGGAGGAAAACGCCAATACTCTGGAATGTCCGTAACTAGTCCACCAAGACCAATACTGACAAATATTCAACGCTAATGACTAAATGCCTTGACCCAAATAAATAAACATTCAAGGAAACTCTTCCAACCAACTGCCTTTAAGTCACGTTCCTTCTGTTCTCTACCAACTTCTCCTAATAAAAAAAAAATTACCTTTTCTAAACCTCTTCCTCTGTGCTTTTAAAAGAGCTGCTACCAGTTGAGAATCGTCCATCGTTTTATCCTAAAAAACCGTTTACTCTCCACATGGACTCACTATACGTGAAAAAAAAAACACAAAGGGAAAGCGAACGGGAAGTGCACGAGCAATTTCAGATCTTGTCAAGATATCGTGACTTGTATCGATATTCTCCTGCAAAGCTGGTAACCGATCACTGCAGGTGGGGCGGTAAGTGCTGTTTCCAAGAATTGAAGAGATATCAGTAATGTTGAAGCTCACGTTACGCAAAGGTTTTCTCTCAGACTCCTTTTCAGCTAGAAAACGTTACTCATTACTTATTGTACGAACTTTAAATGTTATAAAAATAGAATATCATTGAGAGATTTTAATTACTTCGTCAGAATTTAAAAAGATGTGTGATTTAAAAGTAACCAAATAAAGTAAGACTTAGAAAAAAATCAATTTACCTATAGGGGTAGAAACTTTTGGCTCAGCAGGGTGCGGTAAAGGGACTGCTTTCGATACTGTTTCACCGTTTTTAAAACCCTGCTCTTCTTCACCAGATTTGCAGTGGCCTTTCTTCCTTAGGCCAGGAGACCCTGCTAGGTGAAGACTCGAATCAGTATTTGCTAAAATACACTGATAAACAGCTAAAAAAAAGATAACAATAATATTAGTTCTACAAAAAACTTACCCTTTTCTAATAACGCTGACTTACTAATAACCGGCAGTGGTAACAACGAATTATGAACTGATGGCTCCCAGCTGTTTTCTTTCTCTTCATGTGTTCTGTTAAATCGATAATCGTCCTGATCTAATACACATTTCCGCATAAACGACTCTTGGTCCTTCTGCAAGCGTGCGTCATCTAAAAACAAAAAAAAAGTGAAGTTGGGCTCCAACAGAAAGCCAGTGCAGAAACATTTTAACAGGCGTAAGGAAATAGAAGGCAAAAAAAAATACCCCAACGAACAAACTCGGAACTGGTAAACACCTCACTCGTCTGCGTCTTCGAAAGATCGTTCGCATCCTTAATCATCGTGCCCTTGCTAATAATGTCACTGGCAGCTTCTTGTCTTGATAACAAGTAATTGTTCGTTTTGAAACGTGATTCTACAATGTCCTTTAATTACCGTTCATATCATCGTCCGCCGTTTTCCTGACTCACATAAAAACCTAGCACTCAAAAAACTATTTTTCAAAAAGCGCTCCTCATCCTTCCCTTCGCCGACTTCACAATGCCCTTCGTATTTCAAATATCTTACAAAATCACCTTTTACACAAACAATAGAGTCAAATTTCAGCCGCACTACGTCAATATAAAAAACAACTCCTGCCTTACTCGACCGTTCAATTACATTTACTTTCTTCAGCAAAATTCCACTTCATGATAGTGCTCCAGCTCATTTACAACCTTGCAAAAAAACACACACTACTGGATAAACAGGAAAAGGCTATCAATACAAGAACGCTGCAAAAAACTACAGTAAAAAGAAAAACAAAAACTTCTGATTTAGAAAACCACTGGACAGCATGGAAAACCTGCAATCAAAAGTACCATCTCCAAGACTTGTAACCTCAAATAATTTCTGCACTGCTAAATTTTCACAATTTTTTAATTCTGAACTGTACAACTCCCGTGTCTCACTGGTTACTCAACTTGTGTGCATTTATTTCCATAACCACTTCTGTAACCAGCGAATTATAACTCTAGAGAATACATTTCTTAAAAGAATTCCTAAACCAGTAACTGTCCCCACCGTCCTTTCTTGGCAAACAAGGCCTTTTTCAACCAACTCAGTCTTATGGAAATGCTACGGAAAAAAAGAACATCTCCCTGCCTTAAAAATCTGGCATTTTAATGCTTCAGACTCTGCCAACGTACAACTATCGGCAAACAGCATCCACTTTTTGACCCAAAATATGTAACCATCTAGCAGTTGCAGTACAGAGTAGAAAAATAAGTTACAGGATTACCTTCTAGTACTTGGGATTCCTCTGCAATTGTAGAAAGACGCCCGTCGTTCCGACGAGACACTGAACACAACGGTTCATCAAGTTCAACGTTGCCATCTTGTTCGTCACCTAAATCCTCCTCTCCTGAAACTTAAAAGGTGAACTCGGTCTTAACACAAATTTCTTTTAAATGTTTTAAAGACAGATAGTGAATCTTGTTGTAAGTAAATGGCACTTACTATGAAAGGTGACATCCTCGCCAACAATGGAAGAACCATCATCAGAATCTATATCATCAAGGGCGCGATCAACAACATCGAGCTGGTCTTCATTGTCATATTCGGAGGAAACTCGACTGTTTTTTTGGAGAGCAAGGGCCATCAAGCGAAATGCTAGAAATAATAAACAATACAATTAGACCTCTACAAAAATACCTTGTTATTTTACGTAATCTGGCAAACAAGATTCTAACTACAGTATTTCTGCCTACCAGCTAATGTGCCAAATAAAGATCCCCTCCTTCAATGACACAATTTTGCGGCACTCGATGACCGACGAAATACCGTGTAAACACTCCAGCAACCGACAAAAACGTTTAAAAACCGTCACAACATGCAGTACAACTGAAATGGCACGAAAGGCAGGGAAGGATACAGAGGACACGACAAAGACAAATAAAGCACGGATAGACGTTGGAATTATATCGAGTGGTAGATCAGAAGGCAGATAAAAACAATGAGGACCAAAAAACAATCCCAACTATCACACTAGAAAAAGAAAAGCGCTAGGAGTTGAAAATTTTCGGAAGCATTGAATCGCTTAGAAAAACTTCTACGCACGAACCACGCACTCGCTTTTTCAGCCACTTTATAAGTGAATCGACCATAACTATGAACAAAGCAACACTATAAAATTTCTGTAACACCTTTTGGTCGTGAAAAACTAGCACTTTCTTTCCCACTACTCACACATTCCATGCATGTCTTGCAAGAAATTGAAAACTAAAGCAGATTAATACCCTCCCACACCATGATGCTCGAGTTTAATTTACCAGTTAAATAAAGGCTTTTGAAACTACCCTTCAGTACCATTCAGGAAAAACATAATCAACTTTTCAAACTGATTCCAGGATCATTTATCAACCTTAGTTCAACGCATCGCCATAATCCCAGGATTTTTTATCCAGTCTATCAAAGTTTTCCAAAAAAGAAATTATCAGGTTCCCAAAACTTGTACATATATATCTGATCTACCCATAATTTCAACAGTTATAAAGGTCTCGCAATTGACGTGGATTTTGAGACTAATTCCCCATCGTTTCCGCTACGGATGGTGCATCACGAAAGAACTCAAGCAAAGCATTCACACAACAAAAAGCTTAACGGAAAGCACGCAATGGAAGGAACAAAACGACAAACAGTTACGAGAACGTAATTATTATCTCTTATACTAGGCATCACTAGAACTAGAACGATGTGAAACTGTATAAAAATTGGAATCACAATTTAGCACCATAGTTAAAGAAAAAAAAACAGAAAGTAAAAAAACAAATCTGGGATTCTACCAGATAAAAAGAGTATGACCGGGGAAGTCAAGAAAAAGAATGAAAGACAGGTTACCGGTAAGAAAAAGCAAGTTTGGAAGTAAACACCTTTAACTGCAGCAAAGCTTCATTCTTTTCCTTTTACAAAACTAAGAACAAACAACACCGATATAGCTGAAGGCTGTCTACTCCATTCTTCAAATCACGATGAGCTACCAGTAACGAAACAGAAACACAACCACAACGCTTGCCCAATGCAACAACGGTAACGAGACAGTGTGGACACAGAATTAGCATAATAAAAAACCCTTGGGTAGAACAACAAATCTCATATTCCTCGACGATCACACTAACAGTTACAGAGCAGTCACCCGTTGCTCAGGAAGTCAAAAGAAGTCGAATTTTCAGCAGGCCAATGGTAACCAGGCCGGTGGAAACATCAACCAATATTCAAAATTGAAATTTTCCCTCAATTACATCAAGGG